TACTGGCACCTTAATGTCTTTGGGGAACTTGTTAATGATTGTCCCTGTCCATAAGTCATCTTTGCAAGCTCTTATGTACTGTCCCGTAGAGAACATTTGATTTAAATGTATGCATATGTCGGCAAACACCTTTTCACAGATTTCCGCTATTCTGGTGACTTTTGGCAACTCGCTGAATTGTTGGACTATGCAAGCCCTGTTTGCGGGCTTGTTGCCATATTTTTTATGTAGCTATTAGACAGTGCTTCTGTGCCGACCAGGTTTTTAATGGTGGAATCTCTATTCGCCTAAGGTTTCGACTAACTCGTCGTTGTCGAAGGCCTGAAAGCGTATCGCAACATTAGAGTGTTACCTATCACGCTTGACGTAGACCAGCTCTTAACTAGTTGCAACCCATTCTGATAACCTTACAACTAATAAGAAACTCCGACAAGTCACTCACGTTAGTTCCGCCAATACCGAACAGTTTCTCAGTTTTCGCGACGATAGAGCAATTGAGACAGCCCGGTCAACCACGACCTATTCATAGTATCGTGACGTGACGCGTATCAGTCTGACTATCAAAGCTCGCACAGAGGGATGTAAGGCAAGAGGTCACCAGTTATGTTGATGCACTCATTCTCGTTATTCATGCTCGGATTTCGGTGTATTATCCAGAAAGCCTCGAGGGTTTTTCTGGCATCAATACTGTCCTCGTGGGCCAAAATCGTGTACTTAACGTCAAAGTCACAACCAGCATGACCTTCCCTTCTGTGCTTCCCAAGCGGTGCAATCGAGCAAGACCTTCGTTTGCTGGCTAAATGTTCTTTCACACGAACGCATGGCTGTCTCCCAGTTTCTCCAATATAGCAAGCATCACATGTTAAACACTGAAGTTGGTAAACCACAGCTCTTTGTGCACAGTCTCCTACTTTTCCATACGGGCAGATCACGCAGTTATCCCTGACGCAAATCCGGTCATAGAGACGATTTCTAACCAACTGATGTTTAATGTTTTCTCTCGGTGTGTTCACCAGGAAAACGTCATTGGCTAGATCCGCTCTTTCTAGGCATTGCTGAATAACTACGCTAAATCGATCTGATATGACCGGTAATTGAAGATACATCTTATCTTCACGTCAGTGTGGAAAAGGCCTTGTTTCTGCTTCGTGAGCGTGTTGATCTGTCGGCACACCCCAAAGCTGTTTAACGTGCTGTATTACGGAACATGTACAGAACGGCTGTGGAGGTGTGCACCGGTAATGAGGAGCGGGAAGAGTCCAGAAGGTTAGCACACCAAATAGCTAATCTGAATGGATACACAACTCGGCAGCATGGCTCACGAAGCAGATCAACAAGGCCTTTTCCACATGGACATGAAGATAAGATGTATCTTCAATTACCGTTCATATCATCGATTCAGCGTAGTTATTCAGCAATGCCTGGAAAGAGCGGATCTAGCCAATGACGTTTTCCTGGTGAACACACCGAGAGAAAACATTAAACACCAGTTGGTTAGAAATCGTCTCTATGACCGGATTTGCNCTTGCTCGATTGTACCGCTTGGGAAGCACAGAAGGGAAGGTCATGCTGGTTGTGACTTTGATGTTAAGTGCACGATTTTGGCCCACGAGGACAGTATTGGTGCCAGAAAAACTCTCGAGGCTTTCTGGATAATACACCGAAATCCGAGCATGAATAACAGGAATGAGTGCATCAACATAACTGGTGACCTCTTGCCTTACATCCCTCTGTGTGAGCTTCGATAGTGAGACTGATACGCGTCACGTCACGATACTATAAATAGGTCGTGGTTGACCGGGCTGTCTCAATTGCTCTATCGTCGCGAAAACTGAGCAACTGTTCGGTATTGGTGGAATTAACGTGAGTGACTTGTCGGAGTTTCTTATTAGTTGTAAGGTTATCAGAATGGGTTGTAACTAGTTAAGAGCTGGTCTACGTCAAGCGTGATAGGTAACACTCTAAAGTTGCGATACGCTTTCAGGCCTTCGACAAACGACGAGTTAGTCGAAACGTCAGGCGAATGAAGATTCTACCGTTAAAAACCTGGTCGGCACAGAAGCACTGACTAATAACAGTAAAAATGCCCAGGTTTCAAGAAAGGCGAACGTGGAGATTTTTGTGTAGCGTTCTGATCACCTAGTCGTAACTTTGCGGGATCAACTGGGTGCCTCGAATTGGCTTGTCTGATTCACTTTTAAGGCTTTCTTTTAGTAAGAGCAATTTTTAGATTGTGCTGAGCGTCGGACTGTTGCGTACGAGTTGTTCATAGACGGTCCAGAACTCTGGGCACTCTTCTTCCTTTCTAGTGAAGACCGGCACACTTACTCTAGATGGTGCCGTCGAGTTCGGGTCCGGGACTTCTACCCTAACACGGCGTCGCACACGCCGCACCCGCCGCCTATCGCAGGATTGCGATGGAAGATTCGAGCGCGCAATTTGTGAGGTAGGGAGTCCTTTAATTATTTGAATTGGTTGGCCGCTCCTTTCAATTCCAATGCGGACTTGATCGTCGTTTATATAGGAGGAGTCATTTCAATTAATCAAGTCTAATTAACATGAAATCTAAAAAGAAACAGAAGAAAAATCGATAAAATCCAATGAAAAAGCAAGTCAATCAAGGAAAAATATCGCGTCCTATCGATTGGCGGGAGGCGGGGTGAGTACGGTAATTGCACTGACATTTGCCGCATGCCGCAATCGGGGAGAAGTTCCGTTACCCGTCGAGTTCGCAGTGAGAGGCGGCCATCTATATACTTCATTTTCTTTACTTGAACTATGAAGCCCTGTGAGGACATCCTTTTCCATTAAGCCTTTTTTCCATAGCTGATGGCCTCGGTTAGGCGTGTTCCCACATGAAGTGAAAAGCGACCGCTTCTTTGAACACTTCACTGAAGTGAGTTTCTACTTCTATCTTCTCCATTACTGGAAAGATGAATTTTTCTAATCTTGCTCTTCGCATTGTCGTAGCTTCCCCTCGCTTGCTCCATTAGCCCTTGCAAGCTTGCTTTTGCAGCGTCGATCTGACTCCCTTTATCAAATCTATTGCTTGCAATGTTTCCTCATGCTGCACCTTCTCAGAGTTGCCTGAGCAAGTCTGTTCTGCCGTGTTTATCTCGAAATTCGCGATGAGCGACTTCAGCGTCGAAACGTTGTGCAGAATCGATTCGCCGGATTGACTGCACTTTGCCAGTACTCTGGTGTACTTCTATTGGTGTATTCGCACCAGTGTTAGTGCCGATGCTCTGCGGATGTTATACGACCACCGGTATCGTACCACGCGGCAAGGTTATTTCCACCTTGAGGGTGCTGAACCTCTGTACGTTTCTTGTCTTCACCTTTCTGAGTATCTCTGGTTCACTCTGGAAGCTCTCTGTTTCCTAACTTACCTTGTTTTGGCCAATGCACCAAAACTGTTTCGGTCGTTCGGTGGAAGTATTATGTGACACTCTGCATGACATAACACTTTCCTACGCTTATATACGTGAACAATACAACACAGATGCTATAGCATCCACAGATGGTAAAACAAGAAGTGTACATGTAACGAAATAAGAACGGAGCGAGATCTATCGAATGACAGTATGACTACAGTGGGCAAACCATAGAAAAACCATAGAAATAGGGATATTAGAAACTCGTGGTCAGCCACGAGACTATTAGAAAAATAGAAAAGGTAGGAAACCCCGCTTGATGTGGGGAAAGTGATAAGGTGGGTGATATAGGAAACTAAATGCTCACAGTGCTCACCAAAAGTGGCTTACAGGAAGGAGACGGTCTGGCTCACACGAAGGAGAGAATCTGGAATCTCGACTTCTATTCAGAATCTTAGCGGCTTATTGAATGCGTTCGTGGCCTATACAATGACTGTGGTGGCCAGGCGATGCACATGTCAGTGCTTTTATCCTCCGAGACGGAACTGGTAGCTATAAACCGACTCCCGAGGAATGGAAGATTGTTGATCAAGGTGGATACCGATTCGGGATTCAATCCGTGACCACGGGTGTGAGATAATGTGCCCTTTTCCACTTCACCATCTATGACCATTACAACATCCATGGCCAGGGGTTCAAATCCTGGCTCGATATCCGCGTAGACTGAGCAAGCATTCCATCCCTCCGGGATCGGTTAAATGGTACCTCTGAACGAAGTCGAGTGCTGGGGGTGTGGAGGGGGGGCGGCGCATCCCTCAGACGGAATCAATCATCTCCAAAAGACTTAAGGCTTTGAATGATACTACAGTATAAACAGTACGGGTTTTCTGGAAGCGGAATCCTTGAAAAGTCAAATCAGGAAGAATTTGAACCCAGCACTGACAACGGCGAAATAAAATGATAAACTTGCGAAGTTGAAACATGGAAAAACCACCTGAAACATGATAGCACAATACAACTGAGCATTCATGTTGGCGGACTAGACAGTAAGCGATGAGAGTGGAAAGCAAACGAGTTAAGAGCTATCCACGTCACCTAAAATCAGCAACTATACTCATTAATCTAGCATCTACTCGTTGTGATAGTGAATTAGCCTGTAATCATTGTTGTGTCTTTTCGTCCACCATCAACCATCATTTCAGTGATCAGTGAATATTGAGAATGCAGCAATTATGCACTATAGTAATCACAGCATTGCTTCTCGCAAATTTGATAGCTATAGTTTCCTATATATCACTTCAGTATGGACACATCTATTTAAGTGAGTTCTTGTTAATGTGCTTCTGTAACATTACTTCTACAGCAATGGAAGAAAGGGAGACTGGTGACCGGGAGTGAATGCTGATGAAAGATATTGGAAACTGATAACAATGCATATAATGGCCCAATACGCAAAAGTACCTCAGGATGCCTCGCTTTCCGCGTCAACAGGAGTACACTAATGGGTAATGGGAAGTGGAACGGGATTAGAAATAAACAGCGACAGGAAGTGATAACTCATGATAAAGGTTCATAACGAACATCAGTATACAAAAGCTATCAACTGGTAGGTTTCTTCGAATTGGCATGGCATAATTGTCGTTTAGCGCCTTACATTAGGTGTGACGAGATCGCATATAATCGGGACATAGAGTAGTAACCATTGATAAGAGCGGTGAAAATCTGCTTGATGGGGGGGGGGGGGGGGGGGGGGGNGGGGGGGGGGGGGGGGTGCAGACATCACAAGATCAGTATCAAGAAATGAATCCAGTGTTACGTGTTAGTCCTTGTTATACTAGCAATGTATTAGCGCCAAATTCTAGACACATTCGAATTCCCTCCCTGCAGTCAGAAATGTGTATAGGCAATCACTACAGTACACGATCGCCCCATTTTCCCCATGAAGTGGCAGAGCTGTGCAGAAATCAAAAAGAGCTGTTTGAAGAGAACTAGTAGGAGCCCCTATGGAGGTCCTAAGCTCGAACATTAACGAGATTCCTGAGTAGGTTGTTTTGAGACTAGACCATTCGTGTTATGCTGTTATGCTTTCCAACTGAAGAGAATGAGTCTAATTGTGAGCGATTGATTAATTCCGTTTGAGATTTGAATTGATGGCAGAATGCCAAAATCTTTGAAGTAACTACTTTCAGCCTGGTAGAAGTTATATTTGGATGCAACCCTAGAATGATCTTTTTCCTAGGTGGCACCGAAAAATCGCCTGTCGCCTTCTGACGAAAGGGCTCATGTAGGAAAACACTGCACGATTTGCAACCCATCAGGGATCCTAGTGGCTGGAGTGATCCCGACTTAGAGCTTTTGTGAGCCATGCTCACGCCGTTTGTTCGAGCCACTATTACGTTCGCCGAGCCTTTCTTGTCTCCGCGTCAGTTTCTGGGGCGTAACATTTGATGGCGATAAGTCGCAACTGAGTGCTGAACTACTGATTCACTAACATTGCATGTCTATTGTACAGCGAACAGTGAGCCATTGTACATATGTACTAACTTTGTCTGCACAAAATACTTAATTGTTTGGAAGTTCAAAAATGCCATGAAAAAGAGAGGAAGCGAGCGTTCCATCCTGTTCCACGTAGTAATCACAGATACATTCAGCATATGGACGGCAGACGCGAGGCCGAGCATTCACTTTTGATGATGATGCTACTGTTCTCGACACCTGCCCTCTCAAAGTTATCGATCCTCTGTCTCCAGAACTTCTCAGCTTTCACACACCTGATCACAACCCAAAGAAAGTGAGTCAAGTATGACTGTTGATATTTGTGTGTTTCGGCATGTGTGTGCTGGTGTGCGTATGTGTGTCGGTGGGTGTGTCTATGAGAAGAAGTCACACCTCTCCCCTTCGGTCTAAAGTGTTAAAGTTTTGAAAGGGTACAGCAGATAGAATCCGAACGCTTGCGGCAAGGATACGAATGATATCAGTAGTAAGGGTTGATAGGGAGCTGTGAAAGGCGAAACTACTGGGTCTGGTCTAAGAGCCAACTGAAATCACCCTGATCGAACATCAGTACGACCGCCAGCGCCATTCAAAATTCTTCTCGAAAGCACTGAACAGAGGAAATCCTCTGAACCTTGTTGTCATATTCCTCAAGCGAGCACCATCTAATGGCTTAATTTGGCTCGCAACAAGGACGAAATGTTACGACAATCACTCGAGAAATCAACTGGATGGCAGGTGATACAGGTGATGCAAGTGTTAACCCTTCACACTGATAGTGGAATCTTGACTTTAGTGGATAACTTCGGATGTGCCTGGAAAGCAGATAGTGTTCGCTTCTTTGTGACGGAGTTGGAATGCTCGGCCGTTGATCCACGTTTCAGGTCAAATTTAAAGTTCAAAATCAGAAAATCTAAGAGGAATGCAGAAAATCATGCGGGCACTGCAAATTAGACACAGAGACCGAAAGGAGGTCGGCATTAACACATTAATGCAAATGGTCAATGTTTGTTGACGTTGTTAACGATTAAGAAGCCTCGATCTGCTGCCCTGATTTTAACAATAATTATCTGTCAGCTGAATTCCGCTCTTCATCGAGATAATGTCATTATCAAGTCCTCATCCATGGCCATCATTATCATTATGAATATGAATCAGTCAAGATTTCCGGATTATTGGTCACGTCTTACCGCAGCCAGTAGTGGAATCAAAAGAAACCCCTTCCTCATTGAGAGAAATCCTTGATGTGTTGTGGTAGTAATCGAATAGTAGGCTGCGAAGGCTAGTGAAAACGAAAAGAGTAGCGAGCTGAGTTGATCCTACGATCCGAGATCACTTATCAGCTACTACATACTTCCCTCGTCAAGTGTTAGCCATTCAGTCACACCCTACATTCCAGATTGAAGTAGCCAAGGCTTTGCTAACAATATGAAAATAGAGAGATCTAGTGACCTCAGTACTTCATTATTTAATCCACTAACTTTTCTTATAAAGTTGCATTAGTTGGTATCATCATCCATCTAGAATCCGTTTGCATCCTGAATCTCCTATCGAGTTGCCAAAAATCCGCTGCTTACATATTCATATACATATACATACGCAGAGAATATACCCATATTATTTACCACCCCTCTTCTTGGTCAGGGTCATCAGTCATCAACAACTTCTTAATATAAAAAGGGGAGGAATTAATGAATAGAAATTACATCGAATTGCATGTATATACATACAACTGTGTGTATGTATACATGCATGCGTATATGATTTATACATGTATGTAAGGTGGAGGCGGTGTAGTGGCATGTGGGCGCACTTCACACAGTCACAGGTTCGAATCCTGAATCGATGTCCGCCTAGGCCAACCAATACTTCCGTCCCTCAGGGGAATTGGTAACAAGCTCGTCTGGGAGGTTAGAAGCACTGAATTGTGCATCGGCTGGCCAAGTCATTGTATGTATAGGCCAAATACACACCCATTACGCCACTATGATTCTGAATTGAAGTCGAGTGCGGGGGCGCACTCCTCAGTCGGGACTGATTAACGTCAAAAACTTCACTTCACTTTTACCCTCAATGTATATGTAAATATGTATGTATGTATGTATGTATGTATGTATGTATGTATGTATGTATGTATGTATGTATGCATGCATGTATGTACGTATGAATTTTCGGCAAATCAGTGTGGGAACGGAGGTGATCTGGTATTGGTTAGCATTGATAGCAATAGTGAAATGTTAACCGCTATGTCAACATCTCCTTCTTAAGATCTGGTGCTGCAGTGGTTGAGTTAGTTTCTAATACTAAAAATAGTGGAATCGACAATTTGGTCCGCTTCCAATCGTGTCCTAGAATGAAGTGTCAAGCGTATGGATGCATTTCATTAGCATTGCAAATAATCCGGAACTGCAAATTTGAATGGTTTAAACTAGTCTTTATCTGACAACCTTTCCCCATAGCCTCTCTTATTGCAATGATTTCTAAACATAGAGTGCAATAATAACATAATTTGTCGCCTTATTTGGTTTTATCTGCCGCCAGATGCTCCAGCTGATAAGCAGAGGAAAAGAATTCAAAATAGTGTTGTTTTTGTGGAAGGACCTATTTCAGGGTTGTCAAGTGTACAAGCCATGGACTGTTCTGAGAAATGGTTATATCGAAGTAGTGACAAATGAAACTTCATGTAAGGCGAGGTGAATCCTTGAAGTATTTGTCGTGAGCTACGGTAAGAGACTGAAAATACTATCATTTACAACCATTTATCATCATACAAAATGATGCTCGTCATCCACAATTTATGATCGGGTGGTCTAACATAGGCTGAAACCCTCCCCCATTTTGTAGAATATTCAAAGTGTGACTCCGCAACCTGGCTAATGCACCAGTTTTGAAGAAAATACAGAAAATCCATCATCTTCACAAATAATGCAATAGGAGAAGAGCTTTACAGTGTTTCCATTGAGCTTGGAGCAAGTCCTTGGATGATGAGCCCCACTAGATCGCTATGGAATGCCACTGCCACCATATATACATGGCACACAGATGACGATACTCAACCACACGATCCTCATTTACAAGTTATGTTCCACAATTGTTCGTCTTCTCGAGCGCTAGTCAGGAATTTGGACGGGCTTCCGGGTTTCTTTAATCGCGCAAGGAACATTGCGATGGAGGTCTCTACTGTCCGAATAAGTCATGGTGCAACAATCCGGATATTTATCGAGACAGACTCACATAGGATCGACCTATAAGACAAAGCTGTGACTCAGGGTTCACCTACAATACCTGCAATTGCTCATTCGGTCTATTTTTTTGAACAATGCATGCTAAATGTTGGAATTGGACTACCACTAGTTTGTATGTATGTATGAAGACGTTTTGCTTACTTCCTAGGCTGGTGTTCGACCACAGACTCGGAATGTTCGCCGCAGGCCTGTTTAGGCGAGTTTCGTGTCCCCTCAAACATACGATTTCAAGGACAGCCACGTAACTGCGGTTCTATTAGGCAGCTCCATTGCATACGATCAGTGATTAGTGTTTAAAGATCACTGAGGTCGTTACTTTTTTAGTGCCGACTGATATAGTAGTAGTGGAAGATCTTGTCAGTTATTGAGCTGTTTTCTTAGACCATTCACAGATTTGTATGAAGGTTTGTTAAGCTAACTATCGTCGGAGTCGCCTTCTAGATTAAAGCCTGGAAAAAACCGTAACAGCAGTGACTATCCTATCGAACATCTTCAATGCCCCGCTGAAGTTTGAGGATTCCAGAGCACGTATATGATTTAGAGATAGGTCAACCACCGTAGCTTTCTGGATTGTTTAAAACAACCAATATCGGTTTATGTCGTTTGGCCTCCCATCGCGCCTCCTATTCGACGTGGTTTGTTAGCTGGGCAACTCTTGCAGACGATTCAACCTCTTGACCATGTTTCTATGGAAATAGACAGAATACAAGCGAACCCTTAATTCGGCGTTCAATAGTACTGACGTTATCAATCGGGCGTATATCAGTTGTATGAGCAGTGGGTTGACCGATTAGCACGATCAGGAGGGTGAATTGCTTGGGTGAGCTGTTCAGCCCAGAACCGCGTTGAATGGGCGGCGCGATGGAGCGCCAAATACTCCCCCAGCAACCGATGTAGCAAGCCATGGTCTGCTGGCTTAGGCCGACGGATGAAGTCGGAAAGGCAACCTTGTATGAGACCATGGCCCCCCGTGATTACCTGCGATTCTTTTTTTTTGGATTTGGGACTGTATCCAAAATGCCTCCTGGGTTTGTTCAAGGGTCCAACTGTGGGTCCTGCGCCCGATCCCAAGGTGATCTCCAAACGCCTCCTTTATGATTCTGGATTCGTGATCTCCGAAGGTGGCAGATTCTTTTGATGGATTCATAAAATATAAGAACCCTTAATTCGCACGCTAGGTAGTCTTGGCCAATATGCTCTTCGCCACGATCGCGACAAGTGATTTTGTACATTACACCGCAAACATTATGCAACCGTCCTTTATGCCAGCTAGGCAATCCACGATTGAGGTTGTCCCTAAGCGATCGCATGTCCCGAACCAGGTGCTTCTTGATATTCAAGGATGGTACTTTTTCAATAAAACTGATTTTGCAATCCTGGCCTCTCTAGACACTGTCTAACTGTGGCGCTAGCCTTACTAGAAATGAATGGTTTTGCAAATGGAGATTTCCGTCAATCAAAGTAGCGCCATGTCTGCGGATCACGCTACAAGGAGAAGCTGTGTATGTCATCGGCAACTGGATCAACTTAGCTACATCGGGTACCATATCGAGCGAGTCTCAACGTCTTCATTGCAGACCTTCACAGCCATGCGGGAAAAATTCGTAATAACGGCTTGTTTTGTTTGAAAGCGATGAGCTCGTGACAACGGACAACGATATTTGTATTGCTGGACTTCCTGTGTCACTTTGTAGCAATCGTAGAGTTTTGTAGCCTAGCTTGAATGTCTGAGAATGAATCAGTCGCCGACCGGTCTCTCCAATTTCTTCATTTATTTGATGTGGCGTATAGAGCTACGAAACAGACAAGGTGGAGACATTTTATATGGATCCGCACAGGCTCAGAGGAAAATGAGCAGGGTGAAGGGCTCTCCATTCTTGTGATGTCAACCCCGTACTATCCGTGGCGATACGCACTTCCAGAATCCCTCTCATTCACGATATAGATGGGAGTCACCTGACGGACAGTTCCATAACGAATATTCACACCATCTTCAATCGGAAGATTTGTCTGACTGATGTCGCTGTTATTTGAAGTTCTGCCCGGATTCGGGCCAT